TTTAACTACCTAATTTAATTATCTAAAACTAACAGCTTACCCTTAAAAATTAAATAATTAAAAATAATCTGCATTAATCCTTACCGTGGTCACAAGATAAAATGCAAAATTATAAAAATTCATCTAAAACTTATTCTTCGCATCTTGTGAGACTTAAAATAATACCAAACAACTTAACATATCTGGTGCTTTAGTGAATTGTTGGAACGTTAAAGAACATTAAGGTTCCAATAACTAAAGTAACTGGGTTACCACTGGAACTCCACATGAATCTAGGACACTAACTGCTTCAGACAGAGCCCTACTAACTTTCAAAACTTGCCAACCTTGCCTGCATCTGGCCTTTCTGGTTTGTACTTATCAGCAGGTCTCTCTCTCTAGGCAGGCAGCAGCAGTGACAACAAACAGTCATATGTTATGAATCATGCTGATTATGATTTTACTTCTCATTTTAACCTATGCCACTTGACGTAAAACCTACCAGCTATTTACTAAACCTCTAGACTGTGAAAGACAGAAACGAGACGTAAAAAAAATCAAAATTATATCACTTATCTTCTTTCAATATGTCGCATTTAAATTAAATACTATTCTCTTTATAATCTATAAAGTTATTTTATCTCAAATTTATAAATAATTATGTTAATAAAGTTATGTTTAATAATAATGCATCCTACTTACAGATCTATTATATTTTTAGGATGGTATTACAAAAGTGAAGTTCTGGCATAGATAATATTTTTAATTGGATTTATTCCGATCCCTTTGCTCCTAGATCCTTAATTTTTTTCACCAATAGTGCTTAAAAGTACTTAATTTCCATGTGCAAAAATGTGTATGAACCCTGAAATGGCAGAAATCCAAAAGTTCTTCAAAGCTGGAACTACAATCTTTTCAAATAGCTGGAAGGACTGTAACAGTCTTAACTGCAAGAAGCTGCCTACAGGTGCTAAAAAAGATAGCCACAAGTATAATTTTGTGAACCTTTAAAGTGGCATCCACACACAACATTGTAAATGACTTTGGGTGCTCATTTCACATACAGAAACAAAAAGCAGAGAGGAAGGAACTGCAAGATGCCACTTTCCAGCTTATCTTACTGTATTTATTTGGCAAATAAAACTGGCATCATGTCTAAAAGGGGCTATCCTCAGCAGTACATCAAATGAAATATTTCAGATTTTTTGCTTTGGGGATATCTGATTGTTCAACTTATGTGAAAATTAGTTCTTTGGAGAAATCATACGAGAGACAAAGTTTCAGGTGAAACATTTTCAGTTCAGTTTCAAAATATTACATGTAGCTAAGAGAGACACTGGTTTCAATGAAACACATTTTAATTAAAAACCTTCTTGTGATGAGAAAACTTTCCTGTGATAGGAAAAGGAAAGGCTTATTATTTCTCACAAATTTTCTCCTAATTGTGCATGTTGTTTGATTAAAAGAAAAATATTGCTTTGAAGATGTTTTGAAGGAAAGATTTGAATAGTACTGAGCCAGCTGTAAAAATGTAAATATTGTCCAAGTATACCTTTTTCTCTCCCCAAACTTAATGTTTCTTATAAAATAGTTTAAAAACTTAATGTTTCTTAAAAAATTATTTTTTAGCAGAACATTACCTTGAGTCATAAAAATGCCAGACAAACATTTGAGTGAAGCTGCTATTGAATTTGTGATTTTCTTGGGGGTTCAAGTAATCGAAAAGTGCCATTCTGAATTTGGGTATGTGTAAATAAATTCTGATGCACCAAGAGTTTCACGAAAATGTTTGAAAAGCTCTGTCAAAATACTGTATGGATTCCTTTTGTAAACCAGAAAAGCTCCTAATGGAGGTCTTTTGCAAAATTTAACGGGCTTAAAGTGAATTTTTTTAAAGGAGATGTATGTATAGTAAAATCCCAACTATCCGAAAAGTTTGGAAATGTTCACTTCTGAATAATTGAGCATGTAAGAAATGTAATTCACAGTAGAAAAGAGAAGTAAATGGAAGAAAAATTTACCATGTCATATTATAAAAAAGTCATTTTTTTATATGTTACCAACTTGAATATTAAATGCTTACATTTAGATTGTGTGAGATTTTGAAAGTAAAAAAAATAAATGTCAAAGTAAATCATCACATTCGATTGCAAATTTCTTTTGACCATGAAAAATGTCAAAAATCTCGCCAAACTTGCACCAATCATTCTGGAAAAAGTTTGAAGAAACAGATCACTCTTTGTTTAAGTAAGATAATCAACTTACACATGTTATGGCTCAAAATATATAAAAAAAATTAAATTGCTTGTCTTTATGTTTCATGTTTTGTATATCCATTTTTGCATACATTGCACTTTTCTTGATGCCAGAACCCCATAATTTTAAAAATACTGTACTGAGTGATATTCTGTTGAAAGCAAATCTCCAGTTTCAATACTTTTTTTCAAAATGCTATTGAAAAACGGATAAATAACAATTCTTTCTTTTATGAAAATTAAATCGAATCATGGAGAATTAATCGGGTACCAAGGCAAAATTTTTATGACTGGGTTATGACGTCACCCTTATCCATTATTGGCCCTAAATTGTACTGCTTGGCGACATTTTTTGTTTGATTCAAGCTGTAATCCTGTTTGCATAAATTTTCATTAAAAATTTATTTTGAAAATTATTTCAATTAGTTGAATACCCGATAGTCAGACTTATACTATGCATGTACTGTTCAAAATTTTGTTCTGTATACATTAGAAATAGATGTAGAATACAAAGCTAATTTTATAAGAACAATTCTATTACTTGATTTTGCTATATGACATTTAATTTATATAAATTGAGTATATATGAAATTTACAGATTGGGCAAATAAGTTTGCCAGTTTTGGTGACTAAGTGCAATAATAATAGCTAGCACAATAATAAGCTCAATGACTAAGTACTGTAATGTGGCAATGCCATTAGTTGCACTTTATTTAAACATGTTTAAACAAATTATTTTTTTAGTATAGCAGCTCAAGATTTTATGAATGGGTTGTGAGGTCACCTAATAAGGGTGGAAAGAAGTTTAAATGAAGTGCAGCAAAAATGTGTTTAATTAAGTAGGCCATGCAAGGATGTCATGCAGTATCACATCAGATTTTTTTTTTTAATACAGAAATTAATCTCTTAAATTTCTCCTTGTCAGAACACTCAATGCTTCACAGCACAGTTAACTGAAGTCTGTATTTGTTGCCTAGGGCAGTGTCAACATAAAAGGTTGTCATGTTCTTTGGTATTCAGTACTAACATTCAAAAAAATATATACAGTACAAAGTCTATAATCCGGACTCGTCGGGACTTCGCCGATTCCTGATTATAGATCATCAATTTAAATCTGGTAAGATGGCATGCAGAAATTATACAATTAAAAATATGAAATCATAATTTATGAATAAAAAACAATTATGATCTAAGGGTATCAAAATTTACAAAAAAAAGCTTAATATTTATTTATTTACTTTTATTAACATTTCTTTCAATGTAAGTTGTTTAAGATGCTTCGACAAAAAATTAAAAAGTTCCTTTCTCTTTATTCTTGTGTCATATACAGTGGACTTTCCAGTGCCATACTCCTTGCATAATTTTCAGACAGATATGCCTTTACCCATTTTTTGCAGCAATTCCGCTTTTTGTTTAATGGACATCGCAACAGTTTCACTTTGTAGATAGATCCTTTGGCAACTCCAGAATTGGAAACTCTTTTCACATAATCGAAAGTTCAACTTTAGTTTTTATAAAATTGCCATAAAAATAACAGTCTGCAAAAAATAATAAGCTGGATTAAATTAGAAGATTAAGGACAGCGCATCTGTAACATTAACTGAAATGCCTTAGATTTTAGCCTAGCTTATACCGTCCATTATAAATTAAACGCGCATGCACATAAAGTTTGTAGCTTTGAGGTCTGGATTATAGATCTTTCCGTATTATGGACATCCGGATTACAGACTTTGTACTGTATTTAGACATGGCTGTGTCAAGCTGTTCAACCTAAAATGTTTCACTTTGAGATATATGCCAAGCATATGAAGCTCTGTATTTTAAGGCCAAATAAAAAGGTGGCTATGGAGTTGAATTATTAATCATACAGATTTATGCTAATAAATAATTTTATCTTAAATACTGAGATATTTTATTTAGTGCTGAAGTGAAATTAATAATCATGACTCTCCACATGTTTTAGTATGAAAAAGCATTATATGCAAATGCGTAAAGCATATCCCCAAAAAATATTCTAAAAAGACAGGGTTGCTGGTGGTCCGATTTTTAAATCATTCCAGATATTGGACTGTTTTTGCTCTTTGTACTGTAGATTTTAATTTTTTGAGAGGCCTGAATTATGTTTAATATTTCATAGCTGTTTCAGTTTATAGGGGCTTGGCTAAAAGTTCTGTATCATTGTACTATCATTCATATGTAGCAGGTTTTAATTCTTATGATGAAAGCAGCTGGTTCTTTTAATTTTGATCATTTTTCTTTTCTGTATTCAGTACCTGTATTTTTGTAAAATTTAATAGGCATACAAGGAAGTTCTGGTGTCCATATCAGTTTTTTTTTTTTTTTTTTTTTTTTTGTTAAATTTTATTATTATCATCTCTCTTATGTATCTATTATCATTTTATGTGAAATATTTGTGTGAATAGCTAAATCAAATATAAATATAATAAATAATTAAATTATATATAAAGAGGTTTCAAAATTAAGTTAAATAAGTGAGGAATAATTAATTGGAAGAGAAACATGCCAGTGTAAAATTTAAAATTAAGTAAAACAGCAACCTAATTAAGGCATAGATTTTTAATAAAATTATATCGATTTTGAATGCAATCAAACACTGGCTTCTTTTCTTTATATTTCACGAAAATGTATATAATTCAATTAAATATTTATGTTTTAAGTTTTTTTTTTAATTAAACAAAAGAAATTTAAGTCAACTTTTCAACCAATCTAATAATATAAATAAACTTTTTTTTTACTTTTCAGAATTGAAGAAGTCACTTTTTGCTATATTCTCCCAGTTCGGTCAAATTTTGGATATAGTAGCCTTAAAAACAATGAAAATGAGGGGTCAGGCCTTTGTTGCATTTAAGGATATCAACAGTGCTACAAATGCTCTCCGTTCAATGCAGGGATTTCCTTTTTATGATAAACCTATGGTAAGTAGTTTTAATTTTATTTCAGTTGAATCTAAATTTTCAATATCTTTGAATAACTGAAAACGAAAATAAAATACTATTAGTACTGTTTGTTTGTATATTTAAGTGTTTTTAATATTATACAGTGAAAAGTCTTTAATCCAGAATGATCTATAATCTGGACCTGAAAGCTACAAACTTTCTGCGCATGCGTATAACAACCTTTATGTATGCGCATAATACGTTTACGTATGTACGTTTAATGTATAACGGACAGTATGTGCTAAGCTAAAATTATCTAATTATCTATTTCAGTTAATGTTGCAGATTGCGTTGTTCCTTAATCTTCTAATTGGATCTGACTTATTATTTTTTGCAGACTGTTAGAGCAATTTTATAAAAGTAAGCTTGAACTTTCGATTATGTCAAAAAGAATTTCCGATTCTGGAGCTACCAAAGGATCTAGAAAGCGAAAGCAAGTTTCGATGTCCATCAAACAAAAGTGGAATTCTTCAAAAAATGGATAAAGACATATCCTTTGATTCTCTAATCATTCCGAAATATTTAGAAGTCAAACAACAAAAATCAGGGTTGATTTTTTAAATTTTCACAGGACTAGTTTCAATGGTTTTACCAACCACTATCCTCAGCTGCAAAACCACGAATTCATTCCGAAATATGTTTATCAATTTCACGCTGCTCTGCAGGGGGTGGAATGGCACGGCACGCAATGAACTGGAAGTTGATCTGTCAGCACTATCCTTATCTTCAGGGCAGATGTTTTTATTTTATTCGGCTCATAATTCCTTACTAAATGTAGTATTTCATCTCGATGTACTCCGTCTTTGATATGATTTAAATCAAATTCCTCGTCATTATAAATATCATGAATACACATCAAATAGTTTTCTGGTTGCAATTTTCTAATTTCGACTATGCGTAATGTATGCTTTACGCATGCGCGCATTGAAAGAAATGTTTAATAAAGTAAACAAATAAAGTTTTTTTTTTTGTAAATTTTGATACCCTTTAGATCATAATTGCTCTTTATTTCATAAATTACAGTTTCATATTTTTAATTTTATAATTTCTGCATGCCATCTTTCCAGATTTAAACTGATGATCTATAATCCGGAAAAACCGATAATCCGGAATCACCGAAGTCCCAGCGAGTCCGGATTAAAGACTTTTGACTGTATAAGTTCTCTTAAAAATTTGTTTTATAAAAAGATAAATTGTTTTGTGAAAGAAACTGCAAACCAGTGTACAATAAACCCTTGCTGAACATGGACTTGTGGAATGCAATTTTGTGTACTCATTATGTTAGTTGTCTCTATTTTATCTCTCCATTGTGAAATTTTGAATCCTGTCCTTTAAGCTGCAGAGCATCATCCATATTGTGATAACTTCCTTTAATGATTCAATTTATTCATTAAAGAAGTTAAATATGACATAGTACAGCAAAACCTGAGTTTTAGAATTCTAATTCTTGAAATTGCTGCAGGATCTGGTGTTGCAGCCCTCATAACATTGCATCCACATGTAAAGGTTTTATTCTTTTCCTCGAAACATCATTTCCTTAATTCAAGCAATGGATCTAGGAATCGTAAAAACATTCAGAGCCTATTATATTTACATCTCTAAATATACTCTGAATATATTATATTTACATCTGTGAATATAAATATAATATGCTCTCTAAGGAAGTTTATTAGTATTTCCCCCTTTTTTGTTAGTACTAGACAAAGAAAAGCACCAGACACTAATGAAATTTTGGAAGCAATTCAACATAAGTCACTGCATAAAATTGATTAAACTTGCATGGAACAAGTGGATTCATCAACAATGAATGCTTGCTGGCATCAGGGCTGGCCAGAAATTGTCAACTTTAAAGGATTTCTATTAATTGAAAATGAAGGCAAGTATCATACAAAAGCAATAGATGGTGAAGGATTTCCAGATATGGAAGAAGAAGAAATCAAAGAATTAGTTGAAAATAACAATTGTGAAATGACAAATGAAGAACTGGGTGATTTTAATACACCAGCAGACAATGAAAGCAGTGATAGTGAAGAAGCTAAAGAGCCTTTGCAAGTTAAACAAATTGTTGAAAAAGGGCTGAGGAACTGTCTGACTTTGTGATGGAGATTGACCTCAAATGAAGAGAGAAGAGGTTACTTTATGACAGGTATTGAAAAACTTTGCATTCTTCACTGCGAAACATTTAATGAGTTGTATCAGACATTGTCTCAAGAAAAAATCACCAGTTATTTAGAAAAAATAATTGTATCATGTAACTACTTACTAATGTATTGAATGGTTAGACATGGTCAGCGTAATGGATGGCCAAAATCCATTAAGTATTTTGCAATTTCATCACCAATAACATTGCTGAGGGTACACCACAAGGGGCAATTCAATAATACGTATGAAAAATGGAAGCTTTATTCCAGTTATGATGCAGAACATCGTCAGAGAGGAATCTGAATAACTCTTATCCCTCTTTTCCCTGTCTCTAACCTCAAAAGAATTTTTAGCTGAGCAGTATTTTAAGTGATCCCAAGTTGCTAATTAATGTATTATATACTTACAAATAGCCCTCCCTTTTCAGGGATTTAACCTGGACCAAGCATCACACCTGGCTCCCTTATCACCACCATGACAACTATTAGACTTTTTTTAATATAAGATCATGTTCCCTGATATGAAACTTTAAAGCTCATTTTATTTGTTCAATGTATATCAAACTGTACTAATAAGGAATGCTATAAGTTCACCAAGAATTCATGGTAGAAATGAAAACTTTAAGTATTTAGTTTTTATGTGTATGAAACATAAATGTGTTAATTTGTTAATAGAAGTAATAGTTTTATAGTTTAGCAGTATATATTGCTTCTACATTTTATCATTTTGTAATTTTTAATGTAGAGGATCCAGTATGCCAAAACAGATTCTAATGTCATTGCAAAAGTAAAGGGGACATATGTTGAGCGACCACCTGGCAAGCTTGCTACTGAAACTGCTGATTCAAAGAAGAGTAAAAAGAAGGCATTGAAAGATCAAGCCAAAGCAAATCAAGCAGCACTGAAACCAGGTTTGCTTCCTGGTATTGCTTCTGGAGCCATGGTTCAGAGCATAGTTTCCAATACACTTTCTGCTCATCCAACACGTTCCACTGGTAAAATAAATTTTTGTTTTTTGTATTTTTATTTATTTGCTTATTTTTTACAGTTTATTTATTTATTTTTTATTTATTTGCTTATTTTTTACAGTTAACATTAAAAATATAATCTTTAAAACTACCATTTTGTAATGAGCTGATTTTGAATGAGTATAACTTACTTATTCATTAGGTAAAAAGTTTTATTTATGCTGTTAATATTCTGAAATTTGCTTCATAATTACAGTATAATTCATTATTGTAATATTTTATTGTAGAAATTATTTCATATTTCTAAAAATAGCTAGAATGAATAATATAAATGGCCTGAAAATAATAATGTTCAATAAATGGTAACAGCAGAGTTGTCAGCTCTCTGTATTGCCAACCATTCTCCTGCCAACCCGATTTACAACATATTTCGCAAACGTTGTCATATTCTTGAAACTTCTCGTGATTTTTTATGTAGCTTAGCTTAACCCTTTGCGGTCGAATTAAATTTGGAGATGGGTATCGTACTGGTCGGAATTAATTTCCGTCAATAGAGCAGGGATACATAACACGCAAGTTTACGATGGATAAACAAGATTAAGTAATTCTTTTGTGAACTTTAGATATATCTTTATTCAATACACTAATCTAGTGATATGTTTTTGTATAAAAATTATGTTTTATAATTCTCCTTCGTGTGATATTTTTCAAAACACTCTCCAACATGCTGGCCAGGTTTTCGAGTGCATGTATCAGAAAAATAATTGGTTTGGTGCCTTCCACCCTTAATCTTTCTGTTTGAATATGCACTACAATCTTTACTTTTTAAATTTTCACCATGCTGTTTTCCATTCTTTCTTCCTTATCGGAGGTTGATGGTCTTCCTGGTTTTGAATCTGCACCGTCACGAAAATCACCTACCAATTGTGCCACCAATTTTCGGACGAACATAAAATGTGACATAGGTATCTTGTTTTCTCTTCTAGCTGAATTTTGGGAAATTATTTTAGAATATTTTAAGAAGAGAGAATGTCTAATTACTGTTAAATACAATTTATAAAATATTCTTTGGAATTCTACAAGATATCATCGAACATTGCCGATTTCATTACGTTCAAAAGACGACTGACTCGCCACAGCATCTTGCATGGCGAGCACTAGGTCAGAACTTTTGTTTAGATTAGATTACGTTATCTCCAATTTATGGAGCACCATATTGGTTGGTGAATAGGTTCTTTAGGCATGGAGGTTCGTATAGGAAAAGTGTAAACTGATATATGAATGCATACAGTATACGATTCGTATAGTTCCTTGCTGTGGTGGCTGAGAGCCGACATACGACTGGAACGGTAAAAAGGCTTTGGTGACCGAGAGTGGACATACGACTGCAAAGGGTTAACACTTTATTATATGGACCAAAGAAAAAAAAAGTGGTTTGTGGTGTCTAAAAGCACATTGTTTCATGTTCTAGTTCTCCATATAGCATCGAGCACCATTGTGTGTCATCTGGTATATATTAGCCAGTGAGCACAAAGCATGATCAATGTTGTTATTTCATTAATATTACCGCTGAGCAGTGTGAGTGCATATTACTTTTGAGAAATAGCTTAAGAAATTATGATATTTTGTTTTAGTTATGTTTGCAAAAAAAGGTAAAGTACTCATGTACTTCTCAAAAATCGTACACTGTCGTACGTTTGCAATGTGCGCCATTTGTCATCGTGATTTTACAATTTCGCATGGTGGAAGGGCCGACGTGTTTCCCAATATCGAAATTGCTAAGAAATACTTAAGTGCAAGGACCAAAACAGCTGCAATTGTTAAAGAAATGGGTAAGAAAATAAATCTTTAGTTACTGATAGCATTAAAACAGTTCCATTCTGCCTCTCTGTGGTTGGAAACAAAACCATATCGATTCAAAACTGTATCCAATTGTTTTTGCTTTAGTGTCTTCAGAAGTCGAGTCTAGTTTACTTTCTGTCGGCACTTTAGAAGGCTATTCAACAGGCCTTTAATATAGCACAGCTAATTGTTAAAACTTAAAAAGAAAATGCAGTTCCTCTGCATAACTGTTTAGCACTTGTTGCCGATAATGCATCTGTAATGGTAGGCTTGAAGACTGGTGTTGCAAGCATCTTAAAAGATGAAATTTCAGATTTGCAGATTATGAGGCACACCTGTCATCTCTTAAATTTAGCAGCTGAGGGGCAGCTTCATTAAATTTTGAAACATGTATGTATACGCTGGCTATCTTTAAAGAGATGTTTATCTAGAATCCTCGACCAGTGGAACCCACACCTTGCATTTTTAAAGAAGAAATAAATGCTTCTAGAGTTCAGATAAAAGATTGTATTTAAAGTTGTACCTAAAATACCTAAAATAAACAGAGAAGGAGATGCAGTTACTACTTTCGCTGTTAACCCCTTTGCGCCGGCTGTCACGTATACATGCCAACAACGAACACACTTATCTACCGGCCGACATGCAGGTGTGCCAGAGCATTGTTGCGTTTACTACCGACTGTCATGTATTTGTGTCAGTACCTTGGAACGTTTTTCCAACTATAATTTCTGCCACAAGATGGCACTGTATGTCCATATGGTTTCAGATACATGTACATTAGACCTTCTACTCGAAATGAGAGAAGCATGACTCACATACACGTGTTTTTGATTATATAAACAAACAGGGAACTAAATGTTTCCGAATGGCGTGATTTATGACGTCTCTTTAAATCACACTTTATTCGCACGTGGTAGTTGTTTATTGTAAGTAGAAGTTTTATATGCGCTAAAGCGTTGAGTATTTCGGTTTACAGTTCAGTTTTTAGAAAATAATTAGATCTTGTTAGACGTGAATTCTTTCTGTTTTTACCGTTTCAATGTCGAAGCATCGAAAATGTTTAACAAAGCATGAAATAGCAGAAATGATGCAAAATATTTCAGATATTGATCATGATATTCTGATATTGATTCTGAAAGATTAACTGAAAGACATTTTCCAAAACTTTGTTCAGAAGAGACTGATAAGAAAATGAGACGACGATGCTTCGTTTGTTCACATTCCCGGAAAAGTCCTCCAAAACGGCAAATGAGTTATTACGAGTTCAAGGAATGTAATGTAGAAATAAGGTAATTAAAGTATATATATAAAAATATCTATAAAGCATAAGCTGTAAATACTCTATAGAGCATTATTAAACAATGCGTTGATACTTCGGAGATTTCATGGATTTAGGCTTAGCAAAAAAGCCCCCGGCCCTGGAGAGACGCTCGCGGAAGACACTGCCGGCCTCCGCGATAAGCGCGTGTTTTCGCTACCCGGTTCGAAGGGGTTAAAAATGGGTGTGTGAAAAATAAAGTAATTTTTGCACATGTGAGCAATTAAATTGGCAATTCTCAAAATAATACTACAAAATATAAGTAACACAAATTTCTCAAAATAAAAAAAATAATAATTAAAAAAAAAAAAGAAAAAATATTGCTCAACAAAAGGAAACATTTTTCTGATTACTGTGAGTTTATCCTGTGAAGAATGAATATTTATGTTTTTGTCTTTGGATCTTAACAAAGAATTTTTGCTTTTTTTTACAATTCATTTTGCCATAATTCGATGTTCTTAACATAGTTCTAACATAGTTCATTAATTCATGTTTTGCAATGAATGATTTATGGTCTGTTCAAAGATATTGCAAGTTTGTAAATCCAATCTTTGTTTTGTCTTCTAATTCCGAAGTCTATAGTGAAATTGAAAATCAGAAGAAAGATGAAGATTTGGTAATAGGGGCAGAAACTAACAAAATAGTGAAAACTATTTTAGAGGAAGATAAAAATAAGTTTTATTTCTACAATAGAAGCTATTCTGCCGAGCATGTGATTGCATACTACATAATTTTCCAATCAACTGCGAAGGGATTTTATATGTTAAAGCTGCAGCAAATGCATCTTTTTCTGATATAAGATTTTTTTTGGGGGGAGGGGATAGATTTCCAGTTCTACTTCATTTAGGTGTTTAGCAAGGAGTTGTTTTCTGATGGCAGGCATGCTGTTGAAACAGTAGTGCGGTTTTTGCTTAAAAATCACCTGAGAATTGCACAAACTCGGCATTGTGCACTAGTTATCTACCAAGTGCAGAAATGTTTCCTCAGTTTCTTCCATTGCTGACAAGTTTGCTAACACATGTTTATAAATTGAAGCCCCTCCCCTAAAAATGCCATGGTTTGTCTATAAAAACCTTTATAACTTGAAATACAACAAAATGACATTGTTTAACTGAAGAACTGTAATGAGCATTTTGATATGAAAAAGGGTTATGCATATAGTTCCTAGAGTTTGGCACATTCTGAAAATTTGGCAGCTTCTACTAAGGTAGAACTTGTAAGTACTGAAAAAGTGACATATATCCAGTTGTTTATATGAAAATTTGGCTGAGGGCCAACAATAAAAGAACCATACACATATTGTGAATGTTATCTATCATTTTTTAAACCAATTTTGTATTCCCATTCATTCTTATTTGTCTGCATTTTTACAACAAATTTTGTTTTAAATATGAGAAACATGCCAGAGTGAAACATAAAATTAGTAAAGCAACAACCTTGTATTTGGTATAGATTTAGTCAACAAATTGATTTTGAAGGCAAACAGATACAGGTCCCTCTGCATCAGAAACGAAGAAATCAGCAAGATTGCAAAGTAGCCCTTGTTTCACTTGTATGCCATGATTATCGTGTGAAAAAAGCATGACGTGTTCCGGCTCTCTGATGTAATGTTGATGCGACACAGGATGATGGAAGTTCTGAACTAATGAGCCCTGGCTGGGCGTTGAGGTGAAGGTAGGCAAGAGGGCATGACTATTGTTACATGATAAGCAGCATTTCTGTTGCATTCCATTTGATTGGTCTGTGAGGCTCGCGGGGTGGTATGCACTGTCATGTGATATGGAGAAGTTATCTGATAGAATTTTTGCTATGTCTTGAGTTGCTAAAGCAAAATACATGAAAATTCAAACTAAGAGAAAGAGAAGCT